AGGCTGTGTGCAGGGGAAGCACCGAAACTTCTGTATTATCTTCCTGGCCTCTTTCAGAGATACTTTTAATGGAGCATTTTCAGAAATATGGCTGTTTTCACAAACTATTGTGTCTATTTTCTAAAATCAAATGTTGAAACCTAATTCACAGTGTGATCGTATCTAGAGGTAGGACTTTGGGAGATGACTGGGTCATGAGGTTAGAAACCTCAAGAATGGCTTTCTACCTTTGTAAACAGATTTCAAAGAGCTTCTTAATCCCTCTCACCACGTGACCTTAGAATAAGTGACTGCCACGTGGGCCTGAGAGATAGTACAATAGGTAGGGGCCTTGCATGGGGCCAATCTGTATTTGATCTCCAGCACCCTTTATGGTTCACCAAGCACAACCAGGAGTGGTCCCTGAGCACAGAACCAGGGGTAAGTTCTGTGAATCACCAGGTGTGGAGCCCAAATCACCTCTCTACCGGGAAAAAAAGACAATCATCTATACATACTGGGACACCTACCTTTATCTGTCACCAAATCTGCTGCTACCTAACATTACTTTATCTTAGATTTCTCAGTCCTTAAAAGACAGAATGAAATTTTTTCTTTTACTTTTTTTGGGGGTGGAAGGGGGCGCCCCCAGCAGTGTTTAGTGCTTACTCCTGAGAGTATATTAAAGTATACTTCTGGTTTTGTGCTCAGGGATCACTCATGGAGGGCTCAGGGAATCATATGCAGTACCGGGGTAAAACGCAGGTCAGCTGCATGCAAGGCAAGTTTTGCCTACCCACTGTATTATCGACCCCCAGAACTAAACTTTTGTTGTTGATAATCACTTGATTTAGTCACTTAGCAGCCTAAGCACATTGACAATTGCCCATGCCCTTTCCTCTCTTCTAATACTTTCTTTCAGTGTCCTTTTAAACATCCTTTCCTCCCGTGTAAGACTTAGTTTAGGTGTCTTTGTACCTATTGGGAAGATAAACCTATTCATAGCGTAGGATCTGATAAATCTAAAATAATATTCACAATCTCAACCTATTCCTCTGATCAGAGTTTAGTCAGGAACATAGGCTTAGGCAGGAGATGTGGCCTGGCAAGAAAGAACAAGCCTTGCTTGCGTGAGACCTGAGTCCTATCCCTTTCAATGGTGGATGGCGAGGAGAGGAACATGGGCTTAAAATAATAACCTTAGGGAAGAGTTTCTTTGGGGAGTGGGGGTGGCACACCTATGTCAGGGCTGTAGTGTGGCTGCAGCTGCATATGTGACAAGTGTCTTATCTTCTGTACTATCTCTCTACTCCACGGGGCAGTGCTTCTCAACTTTGGTACTATTTAAACCACAACTCTGTTGTGGGAGAAGTTTCTTATTAGATCTCAGTTGGCCCTAACCTCTCATTGTGTGTTAAGATCTCTATAGCCATTATCAAATGTCACTGTCACATAATTCAGAAATAACAGACTTAGGCTCTTCCCCTAATATTATTGAGCCAGGGCTCGTTATACTACCGCCCACATTAATTTAATTTGAATGAAAGGCATACTTTGGTTGGTGGGAAATAGACTTTAAACTTACTATACACAAGGAAATAAGTTTCATGGTTACTGTTGGAAGATATCTTGTGGACATATACTTTGGAAGCTTACAAGGAGACAAGGGAAAAGCTAATAGATGAATAGGAAAAGCATAAATATCTATTATTCAAAATTAGAAAGAGAAAACCAATATTTTATCAGGCCAATATTCTATCAGGCCAATATTTATCTAGAGGCAGCCATATCTTGAGCACAGGGATGTCCAAAAGTACAACTATCAGTCATATGTGGTCAAAGAGCATTTGAAATTTCAACTGGCTAGTTGAAACTCAGACTTACTGTGTTAAATACAACCCAGATTTTAAAGATTAAATGCAAAATGAGAGTGCAAAATTTCATTAATAATTTCTGTATAGGGATGGAGCAATAGCACAATGGGTAGGTCGTTTGCCTTGCATGTGGCTGACACGGCTGACCCGAGTTCAATTCCTCCACCCCTCTTGGAGAGCCCGGCAAGTTACAGAGAGTATCTTGCCTGCACAGCAAAGCCTGGCAAGCTACCCGTGACATATTCGATATGCCAAACACAGTAACAAATCTCACAATGTTACTAGGCCTGCTCGAGCAAATCGATGAACAACGGGAGGACAGTGACAGTGAATTTCTGTATGACCCTATGTTGAATTATACTTCTATGATAAAATATTAAATTAAATTGATTTTTGCCATCTTAATATGGCTACTAGGTAAATTAACATAACGTGGGTTTTATCCATGCTTTATATTAAATTTCTAATGAAAAGAACTGTTACTGATTACCAGGATTTTGAAAAATAGTTTCCATATCGTTTAAAGCAATGTAAAGTATCTTACCTGATATAGGAGACATAACTTTTTTATAATGCTTACATACATAGCACAAAGTGTACTTCTTGGTGGTATTTGCTATATCTTTTACTAAATAACATGCTATCTCCAAAATTTAAGTGTCAGCCTGATCATGATGTTCCTTTACCATAAGTAGAAAACCTTTGGGGGATTTGTTACCATTCAGGGGATACCATTCATTGCTTTCCCCAAATATCTGGTTTACTAATATCATAATTATTTCACGGGAACAAACACAGGAGTGAAAATCTCTCACAATTCAGAGTGTTTATGTACATTATGTAGATTTAATTTAAAAATCTTGGACAATCAATAGACAATAAAAGTAATGGTGACACAGTAAAGCCCTTAGTTTTAGGATCAATATAATTTCCACTCAAAACACTATAATTTAGAAAAGTGCTACACTCAAAAGCAGAAGATACTGTTTCATGATGGAAAGATGTAGCTACTGTAAGGGAAATTTTAGTTAATCCTTTTAGTTATCTCTGATAAAAGGATCTTTCAATTAATGTTTCCTAACTGAAATATATCATAATTTGGCAAATTAGAATCGCACAAAATTTATCTCATTACTGTGTGAAAAGGGTATTTGCACATCATAAAACTCATAGGTAGGGCTGGAGATGTGACTAAAGTGGAGAACATGTACCAAGTCCTAGGACTGATCCCCAGCACTGCATGGTGTCATGAATACTTCCAGGAGCAGCCCTGGTACCCAAACACCACCAGGAGTGTGTCTGCTAACAAACAATGGCAAGAAAAAAAACACATAGGCAAGTAAAATGCAATATTTTGATTAATTTCAAGTATAATAATGGCTTCATATTTTATATGGCTAAATAAAACATTATGAAGAGGTTATCATGCTGAAATCACATATATGTATTATATGTGATATATAAAATTAAGCATAATTTAAGAGACAAACACATTAAAAAACTATCAGAGAACATCATCCTTGAAATCATAAACCAGTCAACATTCTTTAATATAAGTTAGATCAAAGAAAACAGACACATGGGGCTAGAGTGATAGTACAGCGGGTAGGGTGTTTGCCTTGCACGCTGCCGACCCAAGTTCAATTCCCAGCATCTCTTATGGTCCCCTGAGCACCTCCAGGAGTAATTACTGAGTGCAAAGTCAGGAGTAACCCCTGTGCATCGCATAGATGGGTGTGATCCAAAAAGAAAAAAGAAAGAGAGAACTGATATACAGTTATCTGTAAGAGTTTAATTTCTCCTTCAAACTCAACACAAAAATAAACTGTTGCCAAGACACTGTAATTCCCTTGCATGATATAAAGTATCAAATCAAAGGAAACATTCATGCTTATACTTTTTACTCATCTCTATTCTTGACTAGAGTGAAATGTATATAAAATGGTTCTAACTCATTTTAAGAAGACATAGGATGTCTTTCAAAAATTATACAAATAAGATATGGAGCAAGAAATTAGAAGTTTGATTACTAAAGCACTTCCAATCTGGAGTGAGGACATAATAAAAGAGATTTGTAAATTTTAATTACATTTTAGATGATATAAATTAAATCCTTAATGAACTTAATCTCTAACAAGTGATTTAAAAATAATAGGAAATGAACAGGAATAGGAAGAAATTGTTACACAATTAAGCCAAAAGACAAAAGCACCTGTTGATAAATATTTGACTACCCAATATTTGGCAGTGAAAAACAGTTATTAAAATTATAGATACGGAATTTTTAAAAAATCTCAGTTTAAAAGTTACTGGCAAGTAGGTAGCAGGGAGTAATACTTCAATTACATTGAAGTAATACTTCAATTACAGATACTTCAATTACGACCATACCATTTGTCTAACAGGCAAATGTTTCTAAACAAACTTGTGTCTCCAGAAGAACATTTACTTCTGTTTGCATTTATATTTTAGTCAAACATAAAAAAGAGAAAGACCAAGCCCATAAACAACAAAATCATTGTAAACACAATGCCTTAACTATAAAAAATTAACATAACAAAAAAGAAACATCGAGACCTGGGACCCCTCCGTCATTTTCATAATCAACAAATCACAGACTGAGAATCATATAGTGAGCTGCATGAACTCCACACTCCACTGACTGTGATACTTTAACATCCACTTGTGGTTACTTAAAAGTTCTTGTATCAACTCCAGGTTGGCTATATCCTGGGAAGCGTCCGAGATATTTCCCTTATCTCCACAATCACCCGGAAGGCTGGGAGCTACCTGGCTCCCCGGCGATCGCCTAACGTTCTGGATTTAGCTGTGGCCGGTGGGAAAGGACAGTTCTTCGCTTTTGTAGAGATCGTTGTCAATATTAAGACCGGGGCTCTTTAAGAATTCGCGTAAAGCCAAGTTCTCACGGGTCACAAGGGATGCAAACAGCGCATGCGCGAGCCGGGAGGCTCCCGTACTTCCGTCAGAACAGAGCTGTCACTCACAGCCACATCCCGCCCTCTCAGTGACGTATCGCTTCCTTTTCCGCACCGTCTGCAGCAGCAGCTGCGCTCTGCTGAGCTACGGAGATACCGCGCTTGGGCGCCTGGAGTTGCAGGGTCGGTGAGGTTTTGTGCTGCCAGACCTGAGCCCTTGTACTGGATCGGCTCGCGTAGCGCTTGTCTAGATCCGGGAAGAACTGAAGGATCCTGAAGGAGCCGCTAGTCCCTCCGCGCACATCTTCCCGCATTTGCTTCCCCTTCGCGCTCGTTCCTGTCTGGAGAAAGTGGACTTGTAATCGTCACCGGATTGTAAGTACTCGAGGCGAAGAGCACTCACTGTGGCCCGCATTTTTCGGTATCTTTGTTCCGGGAGAGTTTGTGCATTGGGAGTGTCTGCTGGTCCCTATTTTCTGTGCCGAAAATCATTCTGCAGAAGCGGCCATTTGCGTTCGTGCTTGCTGCGTTGTCCGACAGCGGCACCTAGAGGCTGGAACTTGACATTGCCGCAATAGATAAAAAAGGACCACGCTGAATAAAGGCATGGTATTCAGTAACTACTGAATATTCAGTCCTTAGAAAGGCTTGGGACTGTCTACAGATTAGACACAACAGACGCTTAGCTGCTGTTCTTAGAGCTCTTTGTTATTAAAGATTGAAGTTCGTAACAACTGGTTTTTCTAACTTGAAACAGCTGGAGCTTTCTAGTGCAACAATAGGTTATTCGAGAAGCGAATCTCAGAAAGAAAAGAAACAAAGATGAGTAAAAGCAAAGATGATGCGCCTCACGAACTAGAGAGCCAATTTATCTTACGCCTCCCTCCAGAATATGCCTCAACTGTAAGGCGGGCTGTGCAATCTGGCCATGTCAACCTGAAGGACAGACTGACAATTGAGTTACACCCTGATGGACGTCATGGAATCGTCAGAGTGGACCGGGTACCTTTGGCTTCAAAACTGGTAGATTTGCCCTGTATTATGGAAAGCTTGAAAACCATTGATAAAAAAACGTTTTACAAGACTGCTGATATCTGCCAGATGCTTGTGTCCACAGTTGATGGTGATCTTTATCCTCCTGTGGAGGAACCAGCTGCTACTACGGACCCCAAAGCAAGCAAGAAAAAGGATAAGGACAAAGAGAAAAAGTTCATATGGAATCATGGAATTACTCTGCCTCTAAAAAATGTTAGAAAGAGAAGATTCCGGAAGACAGCAAAGAAGAAGTATATTGAATCACCAGACGTAGAAAAAGAAGTAAAGAGGTTGCTGAGTACAGATGCTGAAGCTGTCAGTACTCGTTGGGAAATAATTGCTGAAGATGAAACAAAAGAAACAGAAAATCAAGGCCTTGATATCTCTTCTCCAGGAATGTCTGGCCATAGGCAGGGCCATGATTCATTGGAACATGATGAGCTTCGGGAGATTTTCAATGACCTCAGCAGCAGCAGTGAAGATGAGGATGAGACTCAACATCAAGATGAAGAAGATATAAACATTATGGACACTGAGGAAGACTTGGAAAGACAACTCCAAGACAAGCTAAATGAATCAGATGAACAGCACCAGGAAAATGAGGGAACAAATCAGCTGGTTATGGGAATTCAGAAACAGATTGATAATGTGAAAGGCAAGCTCCAAGAGACTCAAGACAGAGCAAAACGACAGGAGGATCTCATTATGAAAGTGGAAAACCTGGCTCTCAAGAACAGATTTCAGGCTGTGCTGGATGAACTCAAACAGAAGGAAGACCGAGAAAAGGAGCAGCTAAGCTCTTTGCAAGAAGAACTTGAGTCACTTCTTGAGAAGTGAAAAGAGCCAGACTGAACATAATTTAAAAAAAATCATGACTTTATTAGCTGGACTAGTTTTAACTTCTAAGTAATCTCCATTCCCTCCACTGCCCTCTGCTGCATTTGTCTTAACAGGTTTTAAGGAAAGATATGACCATGCACGGACTGGTTATAAATTTGTAGTAGTTTTTCCTTTTCCTACTGTCTCATATAGACTTTGTCTTAGAGACTGAACTGTGAATTTGTATTTCATTTGTTTCTCAGAATCATTGTGTGAAATTTTTGTCAAGTAAGAAGGAATTTATAGATGGATAACAATTACAGGAAAGCTAGATGATTAGGAGAATGAACAGTTAACCTTTATAATCACAGCTTCACTACATAATTAAGCTATTAGTGCTTTGTGGTGCCAAATGATATGAGTGTGATCTTGAGACAATGAAGCTAGTGTACGTATGTATTTCTTTTCACTGAGTATTTTCTCTGCGATTCAAAGCAATTTTTTTTCTGTGTAAACTTAATTTATTTCTTAAAGATATTTTTTAAACAATAAAAGCAAAGATACATAAAAGCAACTCTTTATATTCCATATGTTTTTTTAGAGTTATTGTATATCTGGTACTCTTATGAGGTGTGTTTTGATGGGATTTAATGACTTACTCCTGTTTCACAGGGAAAGGAGCATTTATGTTGGGGGTTAAGAAAAAGATACATAGTGGGGGAAAAGTCATTTTTGCAGAATGTTAAGTTTCCAATTCACCTGCTTCATTGGAGATCAAGAAACCCTAGGTATAGACCATTCCTAAAATCCACCAAGGTTTGTACATAAAGGTTTGTTTTTTATCTTTTTCTATTAAAGCCCTTGACTGATATGCTTAAAATATTAGGAAGAGCAAAGTCAGAGCTATTGAATAATGCTCATTGGTTTGGATTTGTTGTATTTGTAAATATTTTCAGCTTAATTCCTGTGATGAATAAATAACTGAGCTGAGCTCAGTTAAAGTTGCTCATAAGGAAACTTACTGCACTGTATCACTGTAGCACTGTCCTCTCGTTGTTCATTGATTTGCTTGAGTGGGCAACAGCAATGTCTCCATTTTGAGACTTGTTACTGTTTTTGGCATATCGAATATGCCACGGGGAGCTTGCCAGGCTCTGCCATGTGGACGGGTTGCTCTCGGTAGCTTGCCGGGCTCTCTGAGAGGGACGGAGGAATTGAACCCGGGTTGGCCGCGTGCAAGGCAAACGTCCTACTCACCATGCTATCGCTCCAGCAAGGAAACTTACCACTCCAGCAAGGAAACTTACCACTATAGTTTTATATTTCAGAATTTTAAAACATTTTCATATCCCTAAACTTTCTACACACTAAAAATTCTAATGCATCACCAAAGATAAAAATTAAAATGGAATTACTTGCAATTAATTTCTGAGATTGGTTTATAATGAGAAATTTTAATCTGAAGATCCTAGCCTCATGAGTCATTTAAAGCCCATTTTAATTTTGTGTTTGGCAGGAAATGGCAGTGATGAATTACTAAACAAAATCAATTTTCCAGACCTGTCAACTCTAATCATATAGGGTAATATCTAGAGCCTCATAAGATTAGTTTCTTTTTTACATTAGTTATTTCTCTTTGCTGAACTGTTCATAATTTTAAGGTTTCAGAACAGATCGTCTAGATTTAATAAAGGTTTTCCCCATTATTCCAAGGTGAACAAATAATGAGACAAATTTTCTTGGTTTTGATAACTTTAGGGCTTAACTACTGGCCCTAAGGAATCACCCCTAATGATGCTTGGGGGGACTATGGGTGGTGATGGGGATAGAACCCAGGTCAACTCCCATGGGACAAATTATCTTAATACATTAGGGTAGAAGATAGCATTCTTTTTCAGTCCACCTGGTTTTGTGTTTCATTTAAGAGATTTTTTAACACTTGAAAAGCTTCCATCATATTTGGCTTTATAGTGGATCTTTTTATCTGAATTTTTATGAAACACCTTAGTTTCATTAATATTAGGCAGTGTAACATATAACAGAATAGTGCCTTAATTATTTCCATTTCTGTGTTTAGCTTTATGCTAATTCTTAATTGTTTTTCTTTTGAGCTTCAGATTTAGTATACATATGTTTTGTTTTGTTTTTGGACCAGAGCTGATGCTGCCCAGGGCTTACTCCTTGCTCTGTGCTAAGGGATCACTCCTGGCTGGACTCAGGGAGCCAGTTGGGGTGCCAGGGATCAAAGTTTGGTCTGCCACATGCAAGGCAAGTGCCCTACTTGCTGTACTGTTGCTCCAGATTTGGTATATTTATTTATTGGGGTTTTTTTTTGTTTTTTTTGGTTTTTTTTGGCTCTTTGGGTCACACTCAGGGGAATTCTCTGGGGTTGCTTCTGGCTCTGCACTCAGGAATTACTCCAGGCAGTGCTTGGGGGATTATATAGGATGCTGGGGATTGAACCCAGGTAGCTGCATGCAAGGCAAACTCCCTACCCACCCGCTGTACTATTAATCTGGCCCCAGATTTAACATATTTAGATTCTTATATTTAACTGTTTTATAAATACCCTTAAGACAACCTAACTTTGAATGGAACTTGGCATTTCTTCCTATCCTTGAAAATCTGGTTTTACTCCTGATGTGTGACTCAGTGAAACAAAATGGGTCTTACAACCCATCCGAATTGGGTGGTAGTTACTTAAAAATTAGTAACTTAACCCTAACTTCTGCCCACTCCCCTTCACTTTTGATTTGGTTGCTTCTTAAACCACTTACTTCCATATCTACTGGTAGTGTGGTGTTGCAATTCATCCCTCTACCCACCCTTTAAAAAAAATCTCTTGCCTGAAATGACTGCAGCTTCCTAGTATATCTGAATGTATATATACATTTCTTTACCATCCAAAGTAGTTACTGACCTGCCACCAAAATGATACAATTTTAAGATGATCATTTCACTCCTCTGCCTACAAGCCTTAAGTGGTATGTCTTTAGTTTCAAGGTTAAAGTTCTGTTGTTTTGTATGCTATGTGTTATTAGTTTTAAGTGTTGTGGATTGAACCCAGGGTCTTAAAATTGCAAGGCAAGCACTCTACTACAGGGCTACTTTCCCAACCCCAAATATCTATTTCTTAAGCTGATATATAGGATTATCTGTCTCATTTGCTCTTATAGTCTTGCCTCAGTACATCTCACTGTTTAATACATATAGTATTTATATTACACACTTTATTTTTGGTTTGTTTTTGTTATAGTGTCATACCCAGAGTTTACTTCTGACTTGGACCTTAGAATCTTTTTCACAAGCTTTTCATTGCACCAAAAAGACTTTTTTGGTCCCTTTTTGCCTTAGTCCTACTCACCTCTGAGTTCTCAACCTAAATAACACTAACTTCAACAAGGTTCTCTCTCTGTCTGTCTGTCTCTTTCTCTGTCTCTGTCTGTCTCTCTCTTTTTTTCTGCTTAGGTGCTCAGAATTTATCTTTTGAAACTGAAAATATCCTTCAAGAACGATTCTTCTGTCTTTTTCTGGTGTGTGAGTATGTGTGTATGTGTGTGTAGTGTGGGTATAATTTGCGATGCTCAGGGTTTACTTTTGGCTCTGCATTCAGGATTTGGGGGGCCATATGGATGCCTGGGATCAAACCTGGGTCACCTACATGCAAGGCAGGTGCCCTAACAACTGTACTATCTCTTCAACCTGAGATGTGATTGTTTTAATCAGCACATATTTGCTGGGTTTTTGTGATTTTTTTTTCATAGTTTTATTCATTTACCTATTGCTGGTCATTTAGTTTCATTTTTAATTCACTGTTACACTGATGCTTTTTCATAATTTTATTCACTCTCCTATTGCTGGTCACTTCCATTTTCAGTTCACTGTTACATAGAATGCTGTGATAAACATGTTTTTTTACCTACTTTTTGCTTGCTCTTCATGAAGAAGGTAAATAGGATCTTAGTTTTGGGGAGATTGGGGGACCACACCTGGCATTGCTGAGGGCTTACTTACAACTCTGTACTCAGGTCACTTCTGGTGATGCTTGGGGGACCCTAAACAGTGAGGTCCTCTAACCAGGATTGGCTGTATCCAAGAGAAGCATTCTAACCCCTGTGCTATTTCTCCAGCCCCTAAGTAGGATCTTTATAGTTCATATCAAATGTCGTAAAGCCTGATACTCAGATTTGAAGATCAAATGTTATTAAGGTGGGATATATGTACAAATTATGGGAATTCATGTCTTAAAGAGCTAAGTCTTTAATCTTTTATTTTCCAGTAAGGATTCTATATGAAAACACAGACTCAGAAGATTGCTCATCACATAGCAACTATACTAGACTGCTTATTTTTGCAGTGCTGGAGATCAAACTTAGGGCCTGGCACATGCAAAGCAAGTGCTCTACCACTGAGTTATATCCCTGCCCTGGATTTCTGTCTACCTTGACTTCTCTTTTCCATTCCTGAACCTCATATATGGAAGTATATACTATCCCACTTAACTGTGGCATAGAATGGGATTCTATCCCCCTCACCCTACAGAGGCAGTTTTTGTATTAATTCATCAATTAATTAAGGTTTTGAGGCCACATTTGGTGGTGCTCAGGGCTTACTTCTGGCTCTGCACTTGGGGGTTACTCCTGGAAGACACAGGCAACTATGTGGTGTTCTGAGGATTGAACCGGGGTCAGCCATGTGAATGGCAAGTGCCTTACCTATTGTACTGTCTCTCCAGCCCCAACAGAGATGTTTTCAAACACCTGTAGTTCCCTTTCCCCTCAGATATTTTTATGGCTGGATTGTTTGTCATTATGGCCTAAGCTCAAACCTTTTTTTTTTTTTTTTGCCTTTTGGGTCACACCCGGTGATGCACAGGGGTTACTCCTGGCTCTTCAGTCAGGAATTACTCCTTTCGGTGCTCAGGGGGCCATATGGGATGCTAGGAATAGAACCCAGGTTGGCTGCGTACAAGGCAAATGCCCTACCTGCTGTGCTATTGCTCCAGCCCCTCAAACCTCTTTTTCTAGTAACATTTTGTGGGCTCTTAATCCAGTTTTATGGACACTGGTCTCTATCTCTACTGTGAGTGCCAAGTATGAAAGTTCAGTGGATGTATAGACCATTTCTCTTTGTGCTCTTATGATTACTGGTTTGGTATTAAGGTATTAAGGTATTAAGGGGAGTGATAGCCTATGGAATGTTTTCCTTCAGTAAAGCTTTACCTGAAGGCAGGGAGGGATGTGACTCAATGGTGGAGCACTTTTCCTTTATGTGGGAGACCCTCAGTTCAGTTCCTGGCACTGCCAAAAAATAAACAAGTTATACTTAATAAGACTGGACATTTACATTTATCTTATGGTTAGAGATATGTAAGTTTTTCCCAGATCTACAAGTTTTAGTTTTATATCTCATGTCAGAATGACAGGAAAGAAATTTTATTCTTCTTTTAAATTATTCTGTAAGGTCAGCTGAAATAGCTCTTTTTGTTCTAATTTTATAAAAATGAACATTGCTTTCCAGTTACTGTTTTCAGAGAATATGCCTGCATACTAGGTTCCAAGTATTCCTGAATTATACTGATTCTGAGA